TTTTCGAGTCTCAAAGTTCAGCGTTCCCAAACAACAAACTAAATTCCTTCGTACGATATTAAATACTACGCCGTAATAAGAATTCAAAATCAGCCTAGCTGACACGCAAACTAACTACAGAGTCAACACACAAAAGGCTCTTAACGCGACGGTACAATTAAATAATGAAAACGAAATTACTTTAATCACTAAAATAGCCTCTTGTCACGAAACGTACGACCTAGACAAACCAATTCGAGGCGGTCTTCACTAAACCCAAATTCAATAGCAAATTAAACGCGCTCAAAAATACCCAAATTCTAGACCACAAACCCAAAAACTGGTCGTGCGTAACCATTGCAGTGGTCACAAAAATACGCTAATCGACAGCACCGCTGCTGCCAAGCTACTGATTTCATACTCGCGAGGCCGAACGCCGGGAAGTCGCATACCGCTGCCCCCCGGCGTCGCGCACTTCACCTCACACCATCGGGCGATGAGCCCAGTCAAACGCGATTGGATGGCGTTTCAAATGCCCATGTTTGGACCTAAACACTAAGTTTGATAGACCACAAATTCTCGCTAAAGAACTAAAGAACACCGATTTCTTTTTAAGAATGATTTGCAAGGTAAAAAAAGACCTGCCATCTGCTTGGAATCAATAATTAATTAAATTAAATCTCAACCCAAGCATACAACTGCAAGACTTCAAGATACTATAAGGCCCATACTAAGTAGATCGTAACAAAAATTAAAAATTTTAATCTACTCGTTAATATACGCGGTAAAATCTGAAAAACTAGTGTATTGTTCGCGTAAACATAAGAAATCATTATAAAATAATTTCAATAAAAATAAAACGATATGCGAACATCAGCCCTTATGATATATCTATTGTTTAAATTCAATTCAGTTAATGTTTTCCGATTTATTCGGGGTATCAACTATCAACTATCAACCTTTTTCAGAGAAATTTGCCAAAACCCTTAACTATGTGTAAAATGTCCATTAAAGAAAAATAAACTAACACATTTTGTGTATATTAAATATTACGTTATTATATTAAGTAAAAAAAAGTATCAGTTTTTACCGTGCTCTCAATTAAGTGGTTTTAGATCAGATAACTCTTGATCAGTCTTGTAGCTGCTTCAAATCATAACGACAATCGACAATAACATGAATATTTTCGGAAGTCAACAGTTACGCAACACATATTATTGATTTTTTTAATATTGAATAAGAGTGACAAACGAGGACACAGTCGGCCTAATGTTAAGTAGATATTGGGGTCAAAACTATACTACCACTATACTATATATATATTATACTTGATTAAGAATTGAAATGCAGATGCATTGTCACCCCTGGGGTTTAGGATGGAATATCTCTTTTCCATTAAAAAAATGTTCTCTACACTCACCATATACTGAGTGTGTGGCGCTTACCCGGTCAAGCCGAACTATTCGTGAAAAAACCAATATAGCTGTAGCGCGACCACCACGTATATTATATTAGGTCGCGGAAGAGTTGCTTCGTATTTTGTTTGTATAAAATTGAAGAAAAATCTCTTTGGTTGTACTGTTTGTATCTGGCTGGTTTTAATATCAATGCATATAGGACAAATTTTTCGATTGTATTTCTGTCCGCCAAAATGAGTGAATCTTATAAAGAAATTCGATACATTCTTTTTTTATTTGTTTATAGAATAAGGGTAACAAACATGTGCGCGCACAGTCCACCTGATGGTGAGTGGATGCCGTGGCCCATAGACATTTACATTTATCCTCGATTAAGAATCAAAATGCAGATGCATTTTCACCCTTGAAGACTAAGATGGAATACCTCGTTTTGAGTAAAAAGGCTCTCCGGTTCTCTACACTCACCGTACGAAACACAGCAGCATTAAGCTGCCATTTTACGCTGGTATTCTGTGAGAACGTGGTCCTTTTATTTACATAGGGAAATGCCTACGCATACCCGCCTCGCGTTGGCAAGGACGGGTAAATTGGGACTCGCACCGACTAAAACCCCGGTGTTCCATCTTCACCGCATAGGCAGGCATGGCGCATGGCAGGGCCATGGGAACGCTTTCGCACACATCCGCGGTCCCACCTACGCTGGCCGCCCCATGGCGGCCTCTCCTCTGGAGAGGACTACTCCTCCCCCTTCTCCTCAGGTAAGGTGTACCAGAACACATGCCGCGCCCTCCTCCTCGGCCTCCAATTTCACATGCGCAACAGACGCCCCTGTGTCCGATGCGCGAAGGCCATGGGGCCAGGAAAAACTAGCACTCAGAAGCATCAAACTTCCTGCCCCCAGCGGCGGATCTGGTCTATGGCTACGCCGCCAACCAAGATTCGGCTGCGGAGGGTAAGGAGAGCGGCGCCTCGTAATACCGACACTCCTCTCCTCCCGCAGTCCCACCACTACCGCATCAATTAACGATGCTGCCCCGTCCGAGTCGCGAAGGATAGGGCGAGTGGCGCATCGCCATACCAACGATCCTCTTCCTCCGCGACTCCACCTCGGCTGCAGCTGTAGGGGGAGAGGACACTCCTATCGCAGCAGCCCACCGACACACATCCGAAGTGGACTCGCCAAGCCCACTCGAAGTGGCCACTTCGGGCCGGCCCTACACCATGGGCCAGCCAAGGGGTTCCTCTTTGTTCACCGCGGGTGACCAAGCCACGGCTACTAAGCCCCCACCCCGCCACGACAAGGCGGGATCCCGTTCGGGGGTGGTCCTACCCCGGTCAAGCCGACCTATTCGTGCTACAACCATAATAACGCTGCAGCGTAAAAATTGTCAGCTCTACCACTTCAAAATTTCAGGGAAAAATGCGACTCAAGCCGCGAATATAATAAAAACTTCAGAGTGTATCAATATCAAATTTCTTCGTTAGATTTACATTTTAATTTTGGCGGACAGAAAACATTGGAAAAATGGCGATAAAGTGTTTTTACTTTCTATTTTTCTTTTTCTTAATGTCCTATATTGAAAAAAATTAAAAATGTTTATTTGACATAAAACAACTACAACTCATTGAAGTTTCCGTTGGTACCCACACTAGGTAATCCTGTATCGTGGTTATCCATTTAGCATTAATAATTTATGTTAAGTTTTCGCTTGGTTTGAACATAAAATTTAAGAACTAATGTACAAATTACCAATCATTAAAGAGATAGAACAAAACGTTGCATTTCTTAATAATCATAATAGTTGCCCTTGTGCTAGATGTGAGAATATATTTTCTGCCGAGGCACAATTTAAAGTAGCGATCCAGGAAATAATTTTTGTTTTAGCTTCTTTTATAGATCAATGTTTTATATCGCAGACGCTGACTGCTTCATTGTAAATTAGCGAGTCTATGTAGGGACTGAAACGTCTGGCAAAATGCAATTTGTTTTGGGTAAGGAGACCTTGAAAACTCTTCGTTTGAGTAAAATTTCATAATCTTTGCATGTTATTACAGATTCATGGACTTGGCTAATTTTAAAATGTATAACTGACGCACAATAAGGACTTTGCTTTCCTGATGCAGTCTATCTGTTGGATATCTAAAGGGTTTCTTAAGCGTTGTTTTAAGAACTGAACGTTGGGCTCTTTCTTGCTGAATAATATGCGGCAAAACCAAGCAATAAATGATCAAGGATTAACATAGGGCAAATTAAACGGACTGGAGGATTTCTACAGATGTTACATGTCGGAGCAGTTTCATGGTGTTTTTATAGGATAGGGTGACAAACGAGCACACAGTCCACCTGATGGTAAAGTGGTTGCTGTAACTCATAGACATGTACATATATCCTCAATAAAGAATCAAAATGCAGATGCGTTAAAGATTGCGAAAATAAAATGTTTTTGTATAACAGGCAGTATAGAACTTTATTTTAGAAATTATTGAGATGTCATTAAGCCAACATTCCGTTAAAATAATTATGTCAAAAATTGTGTCAAATCTCCATATTAACCACCAATAAAATTAAAACCTGTAGATACAAACATTTACGCTAGTATATTATAAGTCTATGCAAACAGTACCAACCAAAGAGATTTTTCTTTAATTTTATACAAACAAATTACGAAGAAACTTCATCCCCGATCTGTTATTATACCATAATTTCCATAGACTTAATTCTAAGTATATTCATACTGGTGTATATTAAGTAAGTTCTATTATTTAACTGTCAAAATATGGTCAAAAATGATTAACCATAGCCAATGAAACAAATACTTTTGACACTTACAGTCACAGTCAGCTGTCACCTGTCAGTAAGCCCATAATAATTGTCTGTCAAGTGTCACTGTCAGTGTCATACATGTCATGCTCATGTCCCAGTATTGCCAACATGTGGGGAATTCCCCAAATTGCAGAAAATTTAAAGTTGGCTGTGGATTTTTTTGGGGATTGCTATTATGTGGGGAAAATGCGGGGATTTTGAAAATCGATAGCCCGTGTCAAGACAGAACCTTTTTTTAAGAACTCTAACTACTTCATAACATTTTTGTTAGGTTACTTATTTAATTATTTTCATTTCCTTTTTTCCCTTTTTTAATTATTTTCATTGCACCACATTTAATTTTCTGATTTATTTCGGCAACTTCTGTTTATAATTTAATGTGTTTTATTTCTTTCTTTTTGATTTTAAAGCAGAGAACCGAATGCAAATAAATGCAGATAGTGTGGTACTTTTTAATAACCCATGGAGTAAAATGCTTGTTACAAAAATATGGAAAGTGTAAAAAAATTCGGTAAAAAAATAAATAAAAATACTACTTAAATAATAAATCTTATAAAATTAGTTGAAAATTCTTTCATTTCTTAAACTAAATTTAAAGGGAATTTGTGGGGAATCTGTTTTGTCCCTAAATTGGGGAATTTGACATGGATTTTAGGGGAATTTGACATATTGGTGTTGGCAACACTGATTTACTCTATGGACAACTGATGTGAGGTAAAGTGAAGTGAATTTATGAACTTAAAATTTAAAATAATTAAACAATTTTCTAAGGACTAAAAATGGTATCTAATATATCGAAAACACAAATTTTATCAATTTACAAGTCCTTATTGAGGGAATCTGAGAAATTTTCTAATTATAATTTCAGGTAAGTATTGCACAGTGAGAAAAAAAGTTTTAGTTTTTACATATAACCATGAATCTCTTGTTCAATGATTATATAAATGAAATATATGTAAAAATAATCAATCGTTACAAAACTAACACGGTGCTGAAGTTAAATTTATAATCCAAAAATAACTACTAAAAGCATAGCAATATTTAAAAGCCAAAGAATACATAAAAAATTTAATATAAATCGGACATTTCGGAAGCTTTAATAAGCCAGTTGTAATATATTTTAACATTTAATGAACTAAAAACTTTTTGCTTGGTTCTATTCTAAATGTATTATTGTTTTTTAGGTAATTTTATTCACCTTTGAATTAAATTATATTAATAACATCATCAAAATGTCATGACTTTGTTTTAGATCTTACGCTATAAGAAGGGTTAGAGATGCTTTTAAAGAGCACAAATCGTTAACAGATAAGAATTTAATAAATAAGGAATATCAGTTCGCAAAGGATAACATTGCAATAATCAAACGCCAGGTAAAACAGTGTTTTTTCCTATTTCTTATTTATAATCTATTATAAATTGTTCCTTTTATGTGTAGAGTAAGCAAATATATCCCTATCTCATACCATAGATGTTTTAAGTGGCTCATGAAAAATGCCGAAGATGTTTCTGAATGAAATAGAATTAATGATGAAAGATTTGGTGGCTTCTTGTATATGGCAGTGTACTCTTGTGCCTAAACTAAATGTAAAATATTCTAGGAAGCAAGATTGCAAGATAATACATTTAGTATTGTAGTTCTTCTTCTTTTTTCACATTATGGCTACTCTTGATAGAATTCTGCCAGTGTCAGTAAGGTACTACAGTTGCAAATGACAATAACAGAACAGAACAGGAAGGACTTCCCGCTGCAGGTGAAATTTATGTAAAGTAGTAGACTGTCATAGGATGAGGAAGTTGTTCAAAAACTAATTATCTATCAATATTTTTTTTTTTTGTATCTATATAAAGAAATGATTTTATCGCATTCAGTTTTAACTTTTTTATCACAACGTTTTGGTCCATCCATAGATATGAGTGTATTGAGATAGATCCTGATGTCATAGTTAACAAAGGCTACCTTCAACTCTTAAACATAACTTAATGTGAAACACCTAGACTCTGGAATGTCTGCAGTATGTAAACATGTTCAGGATCGTCCCAATCATTACATCAAATTCTATATACCATTAATCCCTGCAAAAGAATAGTGATTCATACCAAGGATGATTTGCAAAGTTAGTGAAATAAAAAATATCCTTAATTCAAATGAGGTAAATCATATCCAAACCCAAGCATACTATGGCAAGACTTCAAAAGACTGTAAGCTCACATTCTACATAGACTTTTGTACGTGGTAGAGCCATGCTGCAGCTATATTAGTAGTATAGTTAAAGCACGAATGGTTCGGCTCGACTGGAAAAGGACCACGCTCTCACAGAATACCAGCGTCAAATAGCAGCTTAACACTGCTGTGTTTCATATGGTGAGTGTAGAGAACCGGAGACCCTTTTTACTGGAAAAGAGGCATTCCATCTTAGTCCTCATGGGTGACAATGCATCTGCATTTTGATTCGCAAACGAGGATAAATGTAGATGTCTATGGACCGCGGCTACCACTTACCATCAGGTGGAATGTGTGCTCGTTTGTCACCCTATCCTATAAAAAAAAAGACTGGACCAAAAATTAATAATTAAAACAAGTGAAGTAGAAGTGAGCATAGAGAACTGGAGAGGCTTTGTACTAGCAACGAAGCATTCAATCTTAGTCCTCTGGGGTGACAACATATCTGCATTTTGATTCTTAATAGATATAATAAATCAGACTGTAAGTCTGTTTATTGGTCAATAAGTAAAATTAAAAGTTTATTTAATAACTTTAGTTTCATATTTTCAGGTGGTCATTGGAGAAATGTATAAAACGGAGAAGCTTGTAATTGAAAATCAACAATAAGATAAGAATTTTATTTATGCTATGTATTAGGGGTACTACATGGAATAGAACACTGCAATGGTATTAGAACTAATCCTAGAACCTGCTGCATTGATTGTATAGGATAACTGTCAAAATAAAAAAGTTTACTATGCTGTTATATTATAGTATAATTTATTTTAATAAAAACTTAAACCACTTGTTTTATGTAATAAAAAAATAAGTAAATTGAATTTTCATGATGACATATTTACGTTACACCAAAGTGTTTTCAATATTCATGCTTTTAATTTCGAATGTCATAGTTTTCATAAATTTGCATTAGTTTTAATACCATGTACATAAATTAAAATAGGACATTTATGGCAATATAGTTATAACAGAAAATCTCATACTATCGGCTTGACCAAAAACAAAGTATATTTCTAGCATTTAACTGTAGTAGTAGCATAGAAAACATATATGGTATGCTATGTATATATTATAAATAAGAATATCATCAAAATGTTTGTATGAAAAGATATAACTTTTAACTTTGTTTATGTATTTTTTCATCAAAAAGAATATCAGTATGATATTAATGCATTTTTGTTATTTTTAAGTGGTGAAAATAAATACCTTTGATTGTTAAAAATATTTTATTATTGGGTCACCTGTACAAATGGGTGTCCCTCAAGGCTCAATTCTTTGTCCATACCTATTTCTAGTACATATTAATTACTTTTAAGGATTACTTAATTCCCTTGTAGGAAAATGATCATGATATAGTATTATTTGCTGATGATAATTTTAAACTTAAACAGCAATCATTCAAATGTGTCGAATTGAATAATGCTATTTTGATATAATAGTTTGATATAGTTGTATTAAATTAGTGCTATGGTCCAACATTAATAATCTACATTTAAACGTCAATCAAATTAAATTTATAAAATTTACAACACCAAATATTAAAAATCTGAATACTACGTACAACTTCTCTGTGGAATTGTTTACCACCGGCAATTTTTCCGGACCGATACGACTTAGGGACCTTCAAGAAAAGAGCTTATTACTTTCTAAAAGGCCGGCAACGCATCTGCAATTCCCGTGGTGTTGCGGTTGTTCATGGGTGGCGGTAGTCACTTACCCTCAGATGACCGCATGCTCGTTTGCCCTCTCTTCTATAAAAAAAAAAGGGTTTTAAATGGGGAAAAACTGAGGCCTGTTGATTCCACTGTTTTTCTTGGCATCAATCTCGACCCAAAGCTTAGTGGGGCCCTCATATATCTAAACTAGCAAGCAGACTAAGATCTGCAGCTTACGCTGTAAAAAAGATTAGAGATTTCACTAGTGGCGAGACAGCTAGATTAGTTTATTTCAGTTATTTCCATAGCATAATATCTTATATTTGGATTTTGTTATGGAGAAATGCGGCTGATTTAGAAACTATTTTTGTTTTGCAGGAGAGGGCCACAAGACCTATTTGCAATCTAAAACCACAGGAGTCTCAGAACATTTAAAAAAAATAAAATAATTAGATTAACTTTGCTCTCAGTATATTTACAAAAATTTAATGTATGTTCACAAAAACAAAGGTAGTTTTGCAAAAAAAAAAAAAACTAAATACTAGCAACGAACAAGCTAACGATACCAGTTTCTCGATTCGGCAGAGTCACTACGAGTAATTCATTCATGGAGCAATGTATATTATGTTATCCTATTACAACAAAGTCCCAGAAAATACATAACGTATCTCTATTACCAAGTTCAAATATTTAATTAAACCAAAACTGTATAAAAAAAGGTTATTAAGATATAAATGACATACATGGTTGATATTAACCTCTGCGAATAAGGTGATCGTTTCCAAGCTTTTAGTAAATAGTTTGTACATCCTTATTGTATAATTTACTTTGAAAAATCTCCCGCTGAATTTCTTGCTGGTTTTTCCCAGGCCAGATGCTATTTTCGGAACCAGTGGTAAAAGTATAAAATGATTCAATAAAAGTTACATGTAATCTAATCTATATTTGAATAAAAATTATTCTATTTTATTTTTTCTAATAAAATCTAGAAAAAAAAATTGCGGTCCCCAACCCACCCGCCAAGCGTGGCAACTATGGCAAAAATTCCCGTTGTAAGTCATTATATGGGGAGTCCTGTCTTCAGCAGCAGGGTTTGATAGGCTAGGTTCGATGAATGAATTATGTGCAAACATATTTCATTTATCTAATACTTTAATTGTTAACTAATTAGTGTTTGGGACTATATAAGGTATATTATGTTTTATACAAATGTATGTATGCAACTAGAAGGCGTATTTTTACGCCCTACGGTTGCAGCGCAATGAAATCCTCCATCCCACCATATCCCATGCCTGCAAAATTTTGTGGCCAACGATAGATATTATAGAAAAAATAATATAAAAACCATTTTAATACCATATTTAATATACCGAGCCCAGACTGAGGCCGAGATATATGATTAAGAGTGTTGTAGGTACTCGCAGATTACTTCCCTTCTCGACTCACCGCAGATTACAAGGCAATCCCTGGCACTTGCACATTTGTGGACAACTAGACTGCACCATCGACCTCCGGTTTGAGCTAGGGCGTAATGTGGCGGCGCTGTCGTCGCGCCACAAACGGAAACGCACTGAAACCTAAATGGCGCTATCAAACTTCCGAAGTACTACGGTATATCTAGAACAGCACTTTACTAACACACGGAGCGCTGGCCGCTCCTCGGGCTGAACACCTTGCCCGGTGGGAGATCTCCCATTTTCCTTCCACGGTCAAATAAGTAAATACCAGAAACACTTGGACTTCGACAGATGGCGGATATTAAGTACTTAGACTAGCGGCAAAGATGAACGTCGGATGTACAAGGCATCTACAGCGTTTAATAGTAATGAAGGTGACGATAACTTTCTTTAACATTGTTTCGTCAATTCTAGCAAGAGATGAAAGAGAATAGTAGGTAGAACCACGCCGCATCTTTTTTTATCTCTGCGACATAAATGGGTATGACGCATGTAGTTATTGCCCATGGGTGTCATAAGCGGCGATAGAGGAACAACAAAGCGGGATATGAGGAGCACCGTCTTTCTAATAACAACCAGAAAATAAAAATAAATGCATTTGCCAATACGCCTGCTAAGCGAGACAAGGATGGCAAATATTGTCCCTTATGAGTCAATCTATAGGGAGGCTTATATTCAGCAGTAAATGGACTGATAGGCTGTAGGTAACGAATGTCGTGGCGGGGGGGCTTAGTAGCCATAGCTTGGTCACCCACGGTGAACAAAGAGGAACCCCCTGGCTGGCCCGTGGTGTAGGGCCGACCCGAGGTGGCCACTCCGAGTGGGCTTGGCGAGCCCACTTCGGATGTGTGTCGGTGGGCTGCGGTGAGAAGGGTGTTCGCTCCCTCTACCGCTACAGCGGAGGAAGATGAGTGTTGGTATGGTGATGCGCCACTCGCCCTATCCTTCGCGACTCTGACGGGGCCGCACCGTCAATTGATGCGGCGGTGGTGGGGCTGCGGGGGGAGAGGAGTGTCGGTATTGCGAGGCGCCGCTCTCCCTACCCTCCGCAGCCGAATCTTGGTTGGCGGCGGAGCCATAAACCAGATCCGCCGCTGGGGTCAGGAAGCCTAGTGCTTCTGAGTGCTAGTTTTTCCTGGCCCCATGGCCTTCGCGCATTGGACACGGGGGCGTCCGTTGCGCATGTGAAATTGGAGGTCAAGGAGGAGGGCGCGCCATGTGTTCTGGTGCGCCTTACCTGAGAAGGAGATGGGGGAGGAGTAGTCCTCTCCCGAGGAGAGGCCGCCATGGGGCGGCCAGCGTAGGTGCGGCCGCGGATGTGTGCGAAAGCGTTCCCGTGGCCCTGCCAATATGCGATGAAGGTGAAACACCATGGGGTTTTAGTCGGTGCGAGTCCGACATACCCCGTCCTTGCCCCCGCGAGGCGGGTATGCGTAGGCATTTCCCCATGTAAAAAAGTTAACGAATGTTGAAATGATAAGTGGGTCGGCTTGAACAGGGAAGCAACACGCTCACAGTTTCACATGGTGAGTTACTTGAATCAGAGATCCTTTTACTATACTAGTAACGAAAATGAGTAGCTCCTCTTATGTCTTTGTTCTGATGTTAATCAGGGGTGTCACTTCCACTATGGAAGGTATGGAGCACTCCATACCTCAAGTTTTTCAAGGTATGGAATTCCATAGCTGAAATTAGGAAATAAATCGCATATTACTACAAACCCCATATAAATAAATCGCAAGCCCTTAAACCTCAATACCCCACATCTTTTAGTTCAATAAATAAGTTGAGTATATACACTGCAAACTCTTAAACCTTAATACCCCACGAGTAATGCGAACAAATTTGAAAATCGCGCCACCATTTTCCATACCTCAGATTTTTACAAAGTGACACGCCTGATGTTAATTGATTCTTAGTGGCGGATAAATAGTATATGCAATAGAATTCAGGTGGAGTGTGCTCGTTTATGACTCTTACTAATATAAAAAAGATGAAATGAAATGAATTTGAGGAATGAAATTAAATTTTTAATGTAACTAGAAATGGTTTTCTATTTAAGTTATGACTTATGAAGTAAAGGAGGAAGCTATGAACAAAATACTCAATATTTTTTCACCGTATATAAATATGAACTTTATTTGTGATATTATATTACAGTTTTATTATTTTATTTATCATAATAGATTCAATAAATAGCAAGAATTCAGCCCTTTGTTCATTTGCCTTATTTTTAGATTTCCGCTGACTATAAACTCATCGAAATCATCAAAAATTCAATAGGTTTAAAACTTGAAAATATTCCTAATATATATTATGCCACGTAGGTATTTCCAGTTTCATTAGGATGCTTTTTTGTTAAATCACTTTTTTATTTAATTTTTAAATATTGAATTATTCGATTAAAGTTTAACGATCTCTGTAGCATTTAATCTTTAATATGATAAGCAACACTTTATGTTACGCGTATACCAAAATGCACCTGACCAATAATACTACGGTGATACCTTTCAAATAAAGGGAAGCAATCAACTGCTTCCCACACCTATATGTACATGCTTAGGTTACGTAGTAATAATATACCTACATATAGTCTTTGGTTAGGTGGTTACGATAGCTGTCAGGAAGAATCAATGCCATTTATCAAAACACCATAATATGGCGTTTACTAAATTACTTAACGTTAATAATAATTACATTTTGTCATATTAAATTTTATACAATTTAAATTTAACTTATAATATCTTCATCTATTGAGCAACATTTGAACTACTGTCTTCAAGAGATACCATTTTCTTTTCTATTTCCACTGAATTAAGGCGATTGAATTTCTTTTTATTTTCTGCCTTGCCGTGATGCTTCTTATGACCTTTACCTTTTTTCTTCTTATGCATGCGCTTCTTTTTCTTTGTCTTTTCTTCTTCCTCAGAGTTTTCTACGATTGTGTGAACAGGTGTTTTAGGTTGTGTTTCTACTGGTGCCATGTACGTCGCCACAGGTTCCTGTGAAGTAGGTAAGTAAATATATTTTTTAATTTGTGAAAAGTTTCTAAGATGTTTTTAAAGAAAGAAATAACAGAATTTAGTGCTACAAAGTGGTAAGTCATCATCATCATCATTACAGCTCTTCACAAGTCCACTGCTGAGCATAGGCCTCCCCCAAGGAATGCCACAAAGCACGGTCCTGAGCCACCTGCATTCATAGACTTCCTGCATGTCTTACCAGGTCGTCACTCTATCTAGTGGGGGGACGCCCTACACTTCGTTCGCCGGTACGAGGCTGCCACTCGAGAACCTTTTTCCCTCATCGTTTGACGGTTCTTCGAGCTATATGGCCGACCAATTGCCACTTCATCTTACTAATCCGTTGAGCTAATTACGGTTACTCTGGTTCTACTGCGGATATCCTAATTTCTAATTTAATCACGCAGATAAACCCCGAGCATAGCCCTCTCCATAGCTCGCTGAGCGACCTTGAGCTTCCTCATACGGCCAGTAGTGAAGGACCACGTCTCAGTTCCATATGTCATCACTGGCAACACGCACTGGTTGTACGTTCTCGTTTTCAAGTTTTGAAGTATACCTGACGAGAAAATGTGTCGTAATTTCCCGAACGCTGCCCAGTCGAGTTGATTCTGTCGATTGACCTCTCGGTTGAAATTGGACTTACCTAGTCAGACTATTTGTCCCAGGTAAACATACTCGTCAACAACTTCGAGCTTAGCGCTCCCAACAAGTACCGGCATTGGTGTGATATGGTTATTACACATAATCTTTGTTTTGTCCATGTTCATCTTAAGACCTATCCGTTGGAAGACAGTATTGAGGTCCTCCAGCGATTCTGCCATAAGGACTATATCGTCGGCAAATCGAAGGCGAGTGATGGTACTCGCCATTGATGTTAATAGCGTATCCTTTCCAGTCCAGTAACTTGAAAACGTCTTCCAATGCAGCGGTGAAGAGTTTCGGGGATATAACGTCACCATGTCTTACACATCTCTGCAGTTGGATAGGTTTCGTACTCTGATTCTGTACTTGGATAACCATCGTGGTCTTACTGTACAAACACTTCAGCACTTCGATATACCGACAGTCAAATTTCGACGGAATCAAAGGCTTTCTCATAGTCCACATACGCTAGGCAAAGTGGAAGATTGTACGCCTCTATCTTCTGTACAATTTGTCTAAAGGTGTGTTTGTGGTCTATGGTACAAACGCCTCTTCGGAAACCGCCTTGTTCGGCAGGCTGGAAGTCATCGAGTCTGCGTGCGATACGATTCGTAATGACTCTGAAAACAGCACGTAGACGCGGCTCAGAAGGTAAATCGGTGAGTTGTTCTTCAAGAGAACGTTGTCGCCGTTCTTGAAGAACAAGACCACTGCACTTCTGCTCCATGCCTCCGGTGTAATGCCACCATCGAAGACGGAATTAAAGAGCTTCTGAAGGACTTCAAGTACTGGTTTTCCACCCGCTTTCAGAAGCTCCGTTGTAATTCCATCCTCACCTGGGGCCTTGCCGTTTTTGAGGTGCTGGAGAGCTATTCTAATCTCGCTCAGACTGACGTCTGGGATATCATCGGAATAGTGTCGAATAAGACTCGCTCGTGGATCGTTACTCACACTTGCGTGTGGCTCCAACGATGACGTGTACAGCTACCCATAGAACCTGTCAATCTCACTCAAAATCTCAGGTGTCCCGGAAACGATACTGCCACACTCGGTCCTCAGCGTTGACAGTTGGCTTTTTCCGGCAGACAGATCTCTGGCAAAGACTTTGGAGCTCTGGTTCCGCTCGATCGCTTCTTCAATACAAGCTGTATTGAAGTTGCGTAAGTCCCGCCGCATGCATTTGGAGATCTGTCTGTACAGTTGCCTGTATGCTGTCAAATCTGTTGAAGACTGCAGCTTCAATTCCCGTCTAACAGCCATGATATTAAGAGTGTGATGACAAATGTGAAATGACAAAGTGGTAAGTATACATTATTATTTCAATAAATAATTATTGTTGCAACAAATAGTCCAATTCAGCATAAAGCTACAGTGGGACAATTATCAATTCGTCTATTGTAGCCTACCAAAGTCCACTACTAAACATGGCTTGCTACTTAGGGGGGATTTTGCCATAGTTGCACACGCAGTTTTTTATTATTTTGATTATTTTGAATAAAAGTGATAAAACAAATAATACAACTAAAATACAACGCACTGATGAACAAAACAAAATATTTTTTTAAATTTCTACGTGTTATTTTTCGAATAATTTTTTTTGTCATAACCTACTTCGTTTTAAGACTAAAGATTCTATCGGTTTGTATGTAGTTAGCTCTTCGAAATATTATACCTACATATATGGATAGTTTAATGTTACTGATATGTACCTTATCACTTACTTTCGGTTCACCACCCCTTCTAAGAATACTGTTACTGGCGTCACTGAAGTATCCATTTATGTTGCTGTCGTCTACAAAGAGAGGTTGCTCACTGGTGGCTTCTGTTGTACCGCGTTGACGCTTACTGCCTCTGTTATATTATGTACAAAAAAGTAAGTAAATGTATGCCATGTGATGTCAATTTTGCCGCGATGGTGTTTAAAAGGCGACTTTTTTATATTCTACTAAGCCAACGCAGCCAACGGCACAATAGTCCTGTTTTGCGCTAGTCTCCATTGAGACAAGAAAATTCGGTCTGAATGGGATAATTATAATGTAATGTAAGTTATGATGGAACTGCCATATATTATAATATCAAAATCTGATTATAAAAACAGTTTCTGCTATTATATCTGTATATCTGCTACTTTAAATTTTAAAGCTTACCGTTTGTGATGTTCATCGTCTGGACTGGAATATTTTGGCTTAGAAACGATAATCTCATTTTCACGCTCTTTGGGTTCTATGGTTAAATGATTACGTGTTTGCCGTTCACTGTCGGATCTGAAATGGGATTTTAGAATACGAGTAGTACTATCCGTGCCATCGAATAGCGATTACAACGATTCCGGTAATGTTTTATGCAAGTTTTTTTTTAATAATATTAGTTCAGTGCTGAATTTGTACCTCACTAAGAATTTACCGTGTAGTGGCGGTGTAAGAATATCCACTACCACATATCCCGTGGGTGTCGTAAGAGGCAACAGAGGGAAACAAATCAGGAGATGGGCAGCAGCATCTTTCTAATAATAACTAAAAAACTGCGGTTCCCAACCCGCTTGCCAAGCATCGCAACTTATGTTCAGGACTGGACTTTAATAGGCTGTAACGGTAACCAGTCACAATATAAAAGTTAATAAAGTAAATTTATAATTTTAATTAGATATATCTTAATTAAAATTATAAATCAGAAAATTAATTTGCGAAGATCCGCGTGCAAGTGTCTAGTGGTGATGGATTTTGTAGTATAAGGTACGAAATAAAGAGTACCTAAACTCTTTGTGTTGTACATTATAAATAAAAATTTTGTTTGTCAAACATATCTTTTGAATCTACTACTATTTTAAAATGAAGTTGCTCTGATGATAATGTTGGGAGGGTTGTGCTCCTCAAGCTATGTTTACAACATGGCCATATTGTAAAAAATATATTGTAAACATAGCTTGAAGGGCACAATCCTCCTAACACTGACATGATATAACTGTTTTTGCACGTGCATTTCAGCAAATTAATTATCACACATTTATTTTAATACATTTATATAATATGCTTGAGTATATTCGAATATTAATAAAAGTAAAAAAAGTTTTTAGAATATTGGCCTAATACTCAAACTCAAACGCAAGAGGCTTAACGGCATCTTAAAATTGAACAACGTTTAAGTATTTGGACATAAGGGTGACAAATGAGCACACAGTGCACCTTGATTAAGAAGCAAAATTCAGATGCGTTGTCACATCTGAGGACTAAGACAGAAAGCCTCTTTTTCAGTAGAATCGGCCTCCAGTTATCTACACTCACAACGCGAAACACAGTAGCATTAAGCTGCTATATTACGCTGGTATTCTGTGTGAGCATTGTCCTTTCCCGGTCGAGCCGGCCTATTCATGTTAAAACCAAAACATAGCTGCAGTATGGACCTGCCAAGATTCCTTTGAATAGGCCTACGTTCGGCCGTAGAGAAATAGAAGGTTACAATAATGATGATGATAATGATGATGATAATGATGATGAAACTTCTTTAGATCAACATAAAATAAAAATTAAGAAAAATTTTATTTTAATGCCCACCTTTTTTCTATACTGGCTACGCTGCTACCAAACTCCGGTTGTTCGGGTTTAGCGTGTTGGACTTTCTGGCTCATCCTCTGTACCACGTTCTCGATGTCACGCATCCTACTTCCGATTGCATCAACTAACGCTTGGAGATTTGAAGGTTTCTCTTCTTTCTTCTCCACATCTGATTGGAATTCGGTCTGGTGATAGATGTTTGGTTCCTGCGATAAGATAGTTAATGAAGACCGCATTGCCCTAATTGCTAAGTGGGACTCGACAACGTCAAATGAATTATTGCAATAATCTTTGTTTAGATCTTATCACCATTGCAATAATCGAACACAATGAAGTAGTAAGTGCCAGTGTTTGCGTGGACACTTACAGCTGTAAAGTTAAATATCTAACAATTATCAAAATATTTTGCTTTTCCGCAAATCATCCGAAAAGACGTCATGATTAGAAAAGGGACTTTGCAGTGGTTTTATGCAAATATCATTTAACCTATGCATGACACACGAATATGAAATCCAGCCTTTAACGTGGTTACCTTCAGGTAGCCTGTATGTTCGTTTGTCACTTCAGTTTTATAAAAAAAAATATCATTGTTTATAGCAAAAATATTAGTTTTCAACAGAATATTTGTGCCAATAGTTGAAGAGTTTAACCCTAATAACAACCCCTTTGTCGTATCTCCCCAATTTCAGGGCACTCTTTTTGCTGCCTCAACCCGCATCGGAATCCTCAGCATCAGCATATTGAATGATGTTTAGTTCCGCTGTGACTAAGAACGGAAGGCTAAATTGACCTCTAAACAGCTGAGCGTGCTCAGTAGAGCGGAACTGTGTTTTATGTCAACACACCGCTTGCAACTTTACACGCCATGTTCGCCCTTACATGGAATAATTTTCTCATCTCAAGGCCTGGGACACCCAGTGCCAGTTCCTTCCACTTAACCGTATCCAGCAAAAAGCGGTTCGAACCATCGATGACCGAGTTCATTCTGATCGGCTCAATTCACTGGCGGTGCTAGGAGATGTTGCATCCCTTTGCTATTTTGTGATAAACATTAACCATAAGAAGTGCTCAGAAGAAGTGTTCAGATATTGCAAATTTTACCAACGCACTTCGCGACAAAATGTATGATTCCATTCACACCATCTGAATGCTTCTTGGTTCACCACTGTGCGATTTACTAGAAATTTTCTTTCCCGCTCGACTCCTTCGTAGGATTGAATTTCACCAGCGATTTTCCGTATCATTAAGAATAAGGGCTCTTTAAGAAACAAGCTCCTTTTTTATAAGGCCGCCAATGCACCTGTGGTTCCACTTAGGTTGTAGTCACCGGTCGTCACCATCAGGTATCTGAGTTGCATGCTCGTTTGCGTCCTCTTCTTTGCCTTTACTCTAGTAAACCATCCTTTAGAAAAAGCATTAAAATCTTCTTTGTATAGGTAGGTATTATTTTAAATAGGAAAATTTAAAGTTACCCGCGGTGCTTCGGCATCCATAGATGGATCGTGTTCGTTCCACTGGCTGGGTGGAATTTCAGTCCAGGTTATTTGATGTGATTTACCCGGCTGGAATTTAAAAACATTGTAACAATTATTTTTCATGCATACATTCATATTTATAAAATTTATGTGTTTGTTTGTGATATCGAAATAACTGTTAATTGACCTGAGAGGGAGACCATGGGTGCTATAGAATATAGCAGATATAGAATAATATATACGCGATAAAATAGATACAAGATATAGATATAGAACAAGTTAATATGCGCGATGAAATCCGTAAAGAGTAGTTTTATTTTAATGAGCTGAGCGGGTTATTAGCATGTCATTAGGAAATGAATTATTAAAATTTTTGTTTGTCTGCCTGAATGGCTGAACCGATTGTAATCAAACACGATGAACGGATAGAGAATAATGCTAGATTGTATTTTATTCGAAAAAGTTGAAGATCATTTTTAAGAAATCGATAAATTGATAAAATAAACGGTTTTTGATGATTCTCTTATATCTAAATAAAGCAACATTAATAGATCCTACCCAGGCCAAGCCGGGGCGGGTCGCTAGTTACCAATAATATATTTTTTATATATCAAAGCAACTTATTGTAAATGTTAGCCATCTCTATTCTACACATACTTATAAATAAAATTAAAGTGTCAGTCTGTAATATCGAAATAACTGTCTTTTATTAAGCTCAGGAGGTAACTAGCTTGCCATTAAGACATGAAAAAAAGTGCTTACGATTTTATTAAATTACTAGCTGTTCTCCGCGACTTCGCCTGCGTGTAATTTATTACGATTGGATTTCATGGGTTTTAATTTTTTGCACGAAACCCTAATTCTTTTTCTAAACTAAAAGTAGCCTGAGTTACTCCTTATAATATCAGCTATCGGCCAGTGAAAGTCCCATCGAAATCGGTCCAGCCGTTTCGGCGATTAGCCGAAACAAACATACAGACAGACAGAATGACAGACAAAAATTTTAAAAATTGTGTTTATGTTATAAGTACCGTATGTACTTTCATATGCATTTAGTAAAAAGCTGTTATTTTGACATTACAAACAGACACTTCAATTTTATTTATTTGTATAGATAGATAGATATACGTTTTAACTAATTTCAAAAGGGAGGAGGTTCTGAATTTGACTGTATGATCTTTTTTTGTAGTATATATCCATCATCACTACCATATGATATTCATCAATTGTGAACCGATTTTATTTATTACTAGCTGTTCCACGCGACTTCGCCCCCGTGTAATTTAGGGTTTTAATTTTCTTGCGCGGAACCCTAATTCTTTTTCTAAGATATAAGAAGCTTAAGTTACTTCTTATAACATCAGCTATCTGCCAGTGAAAGTCTCGTCAAAATCGGTCCAGCCGTTTCGGAGATTAGCCGGAACAAACAGACATACAAAAATTTTAAAAATTGAGGTTTTGTTATAAGTACCGTATAAATACTTTCATATGCATTTAGTAAAAAGCTGTTATTTTGAAATTACAAACAAACACTACAACTTTATTTATTTGTATTGAAGATTTCTTTAATAAATAATAGTTCATAGTTCAGAGGTGGTGCTATACAGGGTTACGAGTATTTTGCAATATACGGCCAAATTTACAGATGAGGTTCAGAATAGGTAATATAAGCGAAAGGTAAAAAAAAAATAAGAAAAAACACTCAAGCATTTTGTCCGTTTTTTCTTTTATATACAAAACTAGCTGTTCCCTGCGACTTCGCCCGCGTGTTTTTTGGAGTTTTAATTTTTTTGCGCGTTACACTAATTCTTTTTCTGAAATAAAAGTAGCCTAAGTAACTCCTTGTGACATCAGCTATCTGCCAGTGAAAATCCTGTCAAAATCGGTCCAGCCGTTTCGGAGATCAGCCGGAACAAACAGACAGACAGACAGACAGACATACGGACAGACAGACAAAACTGTAAAATTGTATTTTTGTTATTCGTTCCGTATATACCTTCATATGCATTTAGTAAAAAGCTGTAATTTTGACATTACAAACAGACATTTCAATTTTATTTATTTATACCTATATCGAGCACCATCGTATTGGAAATAAAAATTATTTAGTGACACTAGGGGTATTTCGTCTAGGATATCTTGAATAACACCACTTTCGTATAATGCGCATCACGTAAAATTTCATTACTTAAAATGTAACACCTAAACATTTCATTGTATTTGCGGTTCAAATATTTTTTGTGGCGTCATTGCTGACGAAGTGCTATCGGCCGGCCGGGCGAACGTACCTAGCAGTGTAACGGGTTACAGAAGGGAAAGAGCGGTGAGACGCGCTTGTCACAGTCAGAGTATTTAAAAAGATATATATATATATATATATATATCCTAAGCCCGTGTAGAGGATGAAGAGAAAATTGGAATCATAATTCGCGTCGCGTAGTTATCAACTTAGTACCGAGTGTGTCATTAAGCAAGTAAATAGTAGGCAAAAGCTCCGTGCTGACTGACTTACTTACTCGTACACACACGAGCGCGCGTACAGTGTAGTTGTTGCCCATAAATCACATTAAATGTCGGATATTTTCAAATAAATGTAGAAACCTTATTTACGCGTATTTTAATAACTGCAAAAAGTTTATATCAGTATTTTGAATTTTATTTTTTAAACTTAATTATTAAATTTGGTTAGTCTATAAAAATAACCCTGTATAAGACCTCTTAAATCGACGCTGTAATTCTTCTATACACTAGGTCTTAGCACCGATTTCAGAAATTATTATGTTGTTTTTATTTTTTATAGTTCTTCGGCTTTTACTTGAGGCGACACCGCGAAAAAATGCACCTCCTTTCATGGAATAGTATAGTAGTATCACACAACTAACGAAACTGGAATTTTGATATATTTAAATTCATGTCTTTATCTTGAATTTGCTTGTTCAAAACACGATTGTAAAATTTTGACTCGATAATAATTATTTGCGAAAAACCTTTAAAAAAATCACTATATTCGAAATTACAACGAAATTACTTAATCTTTATGCTTGGAAACCACTCAAATACATTCATAACATCAATATTCGTAATTTACTTGCTCATTATTTTAATTACTATAACCATTTTTTTTTATAATTAATAGAATCTGGCGTTACTTTGCGGAAATTCATTATATAAAAGCTTTTAGAAAAATTTACTTCGCAAATATCCGCGTTATAAAATAAAATTATGTGTCTTACCTAGTATGAAGAGTAACTCCCGCCCTCCCTCAATTGCGTGTACTATCCCCGTCACCACTAATCCCAGCACCGCTACTCCCAACACCATTACACTAGGCAAGACATACCACTGACGATAATACGACACGTGTTTCGCCTCTACACGAGGCATCCTCAGGTGATATAGACTCTACGGTGGCTAACCGCTAAGCAACTTTAGCGGTTAGCCACCGCACGCAGCCAGTGCACGCAATTGAGGGAGGGTGGGAGGTGCTCTTCATACTAGGTAAGACACATCATTTTATTTTATAACGCGGATATTTGCGAAGTAAATTTTTCTAAAAGCTTTTATCAATTATTTTTTTTAATATTTTAAGATTCTTAGCGATTTCTAAGCGGTCTTAATCGTCGCGGGCGCTACGCAATTTTAGACTTATGACGGCGTTTTTGAAGTTTTTCTAGAAATTATGTTTCACTCGGGTCAGTCCGGCAATAGACCGCTTCAACAGTATTAAGTAGTAATTGCTTTATTGACGTAATAGAGAAATAATTAAGTAGGTATGTCTTTTTAAAAGGATTATAGGTAAATAACGAGTAGTCCCACTTGGACAAAAAAGTCGATTAATTCAACGATTAAACAAATCAGTTGAACTAGGAGAAACAACCAGGAACATGTCTTAGTACACAGCAATGACAGGCCTCTGTTCATTCATAAGAGTGTCGGTATACCCGGAGGCGCACTTATTATATTGATTTTATTTTATTATTTTTTATTGTGTCCATTAAATAAATGTTTTTCTATTCTAAGTATAAAATAGAATACTATTTTGATATACTACACTAATAGTATTTTATTATTATATAAAAATAGTATTCTATTTTATTCTTATGGCTATTGTACTAAAATACGAATATAAATTATAAACACAAGGTAGGTAGCAAAGAATCTTTCACTACGGCGCTTCATTTTAAAATACCAAATTCCTGCGGGTGTACTACCCGCTACCTTTAGCCGCCGCGACACCAAAGGTAGCCGCTTCCGGCGTACACCCGCAGGAGGGTATGGTTTTAGACGAGCGACGTAGGTACTAGTGAATTTCAATGTTTTAACACTGTTTACGTAAATATATTTTTTGTATAAATATTTTTGTTTATTGTTTAGTATTTACAAGATAAAATAGTGGTAGTTATAAGATAAAATAGTTGTATAACTTTCAGTGCAATTTATATGTATATTTAGATATTTATTATTGAAAACAAATTCATTGACAATTTTAAAAACATAATAATAAAAAAACCAGCAAATAATTTACTAAAATTACATATTAACGAATATGTACTAATTTTATGTTTTACCTCCTAGTATTTACTTAAAACTATACGTCAGATCTAGAACTTTTCCTCTCTTAAATTGAATAACCGTTGTTTTACAGACGGTAATTTTTTATAGGATTAGGGTGACAAACGGGCACACAGTTCATCTGATGGTAAGTGGTTGCTGTGTCCCATAGACATCTACATCTATCTTCGATTACGAATCAAAATGCAGATACGTTATCACTCGTGAGCACTAACATGGAATGCCTCGTTTCCAGTAAAAAGGTCTCCGGTTCTCTACACTCACCATACGTAACAGAAGCGTTAAGCTGCTATTTTACGCTGGTATTTTGTGAGAGCGTGGTCCTTCCCCGGTCGAGCCGACCCATTCATGCTACAACTATACCAGTAATATAGCTGTAGCATGGCTCTACCACGTAAAAAAATATAACACTTTATATTAAAGTAATACAGCTATAAATTAATGAATGATCAAAAGGTACTGTATTTTTTACTATTTTGTTGAAAGCCCTGGCTAACCACGAAATACCGTCAGTGAGGTAGGAAGGGGAAAAATGCCAAAGCCATACGGACACCAGCGCGCAGCGATAAAGTTTAATTTAACTTGCGTGCGTGATTTATCTAGCTATATAACATATTCATTTTAGTTTAATAGCCTACAAAACTAAATTAAGTGGGCTAGTATTAAAACGTCGGTAAGTAGTAAACATCAAAGGAGTGCAACTTCTGTACGTAGTACCATTATTTATTCTGTAGCAATGACAAGTTACGACCTAGTTATGGCACAGAATAAATATTAGGTTATGGCCTTTCCGATGTCGTCGTTTCCGATGATGCGCGCCTATTTCTTCTGTACGATAATGATATAGGTATTGTGAATTAGTAACATTCCTTGTTGTGCCTATTCTGCACTGTCTTGTCTGAACTTCCTAATTTTAAAATTATGTTTGTTTATTATACTTTAACTCATCACCTTCGATGGTAGTTTTTGCGTTACTCCAAAAGCATTTGCATAATACTTTTCATCTGATCCTTCTGGAGGCTGAAACAAACAAATATTATAAATTTTTAAAGAATACTAGCATTGCTTTCTTTAACACCTATATACGTCCGTTAACCAGATACCCTTACTTCACGACAGTAGTCGGATTCGGATGGCGGTTTGAGCCTACAACTTTGTAGTCTCGCAGCTGAATACATGTTTTGTGCAAATCTATACTCTATACAAATAAATAAAATTGAAGTGTCTGTTTGTAATGTCAAAATTACAGTTTTTTACTAAATGCATATGAAAGTAAATACGGTACCTATAACTAAAATACAAATTTTAAAATTTTTGTCTGTCTGTCTGTCTGTCTGTTTGTTCCGGGTAATCTCCGAAACGGCTGGACCGATTTTGACGGGACTTTCACTGGCAGATAGCTGATTTCATAAGGAGTAACTTAGGCTACTTTTATATTATAAAAAGAATTAGGGTTCCGCGCAAAATCATAAAAACCCTAACACGCGAACGAAGTCGCGGGGAACAGCTAGTAATTAATAAAATTACTTCTTCATGCAAACTAAATTCGACATTTTATAAATTTTAGGTCGAAAACATGCGCAAATAACAATATTGAGCGATCGATAATAAGAGTATGAGTAGAGGAGTTGCGGGAAATCCTTGTCGGAGCGCGTATATGTCGTGTGTAAGCTCCTAAAATAACTAAAGTGCTCTCCATTTTTTAGATTTCTTTGTACCTATGTCAATAAGTAAGTAGGTAAATCAGAAATTATTTTTTCTGACACTTAAAATAATTGTATGTAGAGTTTTGAGTGAATACATCACTCAAAACACTTATAGGCGCCGGCACGAAAGTCTAGCGGTGACTGTTATTGCTCATAAGTCGCGCTGATTGACTTATTGCGCATAAGTCGCGATTATTGACTCGTATGTATCATTCACACGCGCTGATTGGCTCTCCAGTCGGATTCGTGCAATTCAATTCGTGAGCGTCTCCTCCACGTTTCGTTCAGCGCTAGACTTACGTGCCGCGACTTGTAACTAGGCACATATTTTTAGAATCGAATAAAAAAATAATAAACCTTACTTTTTCAGTAGTAGATGGAGGTTCTTCAAATTCTACGTCATTATGTATTTCCTGAGCTTCTTCCTCTACGTCCTGTCTTGGAAATGAAGGTGAATTGGTTTTCCTCACTCGTTTTTTTCTAATAAAAAAGAACTTAAATATCAATTCCTTAACTTAAATAATTTCTGGTGTAAAATGTCTTATTCAGTTACATTACTATTTCACTGACGGCTCCGTGGCGCAGTGGCTTAGCAATGACTAGCAGCACTAAGGGCCGCGGTTCGAATCCCGAACGGGACAAATATTTGTATAGCCTACAAATAATTGTCCCGGATCTGGATGTATGTCCTTGTAAAATTTATGTATGTAAACTGCCCCCACTATAAAGGAGAAAATCCTAGTATGGAGGTAACGTTTTAAATAAAAATCAAAAAACAATATTACTATTTCAGTTTGTGCGCAACGCAAGTAATAATTTACAAATATTTGACAGCTACTGTTTTATATGCGTATTGTTGTGTGTAGTGTCTTTGTGCAGCGGTTTTGAGGTTTGGCTTTCTACCATTTTCTCTTTTAATATTGGACCAATTTTAAAGATATTTCATAAACTAAATAAGAAGGATATACACTGTGTCCCTGTTTTTCTTTTTTCAGTAATAGTTATCAAATTTGAACACTAGACCTCTGTTGACAGCGGTCTAAATAAGCAATTTTGAGCATTTTGTAAGGGCTCTAGTGTTTATAAAGATAAATTTTCATCAACAAGGAAAACATAGGAACATAGAAGAGTTTGATATTTATTTTAATGTAAAAACTCATTGATATAAGGTCATAAACCAGGAAGAAAACAGGCGAGAGCGTTTGAATGGAGAAAAGACCACCCGTATTTCCTCTTAATGCTGATGTGTTGTTTAGTATGGTGATCCAAAGAATAATCCAAAGAACCGGAGAACCTTTTTACTGGATACGAGGCATTCCATCTTAGTCCTCCGGGGTGACAGCTCATTTGCATTTTGATTCTTAATAGAGGATAGATATAGATGTCATGTGCCACAGCATCCACTTACCATCCGGTGGACTGTGTGCTTGTTGATCACCCTAATACTATAAAAAATGTGAAAGTTTAATGCGATAAATTCGATTAAGTTTGTTTTATTAAATGTACGCGCGTAAATGTTAGATATCTTTGCATTACCTTATCATTTCTGATTTCCTTTTTGGTTCTTTTTCATCCTTGTTCGTAGACAGCGCAATCTGTAACAAATTCGCCTAATTCACTTATATAAAGGTGAAATAGTTATCGCCATACTTGGAAGTGATTTTCGATATAATATACCAAAAATCACTGCCAAGTATGACGATATATATAATACGGCTTGACTCACTGGCACTGCGTAGAGATGTTGCATCTCTTTGCGTATTTGTTCGCATCTATCCACGGGGAGTGCTCTGAGGAATTGTTCGGACTTATTCCAGCCGCTTAATTTCACCATCGCGTTTTCTCCCTCGCGTAACTTCCTTGTGGAATCGATTACCACCAGCGATTTTTCCGGACCGATACGACTTAGGGACCTTCAAGAAAAGAGCCTACTCCTTTTTAAAAGGCCGGCAACGCATCTGCAATTCCCCTGGTGTTGCAGTTGTTCATGGGTGGCGGTAGGCACTTACCATCAGGTGAGCCGCATGCTCGTTTGCCCCCTCTCCTATAAAAAAAGTTATCAGTTAATTTTAGTGTATTATTTCCGATTGCCTGAAAGATCGGAAAAGTGATAGGTACCTATCAATGATGGACTTATAATACATAATGTATACAAATAAATAAAATTGAAGTGTCTGTTTGTAATGTCGAAATAACAGTTTTTACTACCTATAGGCATTTGAAAGTATATACGGTACTTATAACAAAAACACAATTTTTAAAATTTTTGTCTGTCTGTCTGTCTGTTTGTTCCGGCTAATATCCGAAACGTCTGGACCGATTTTGACCGGACTTTCACTGGCAGATAGCTGATGTTATAAGAAGTAACTTAGGCTACTTTTATTTTAGAAAAAGAATTAGGGTTCCGCGCAAAAAAATTAAGGGACATGAAATCCAATCGTAATAAATTACGCGCGGACGAAGTCGCGGGAAACAGCTAGTATAATATTTAATATAATAACATAAGCAATAATAGTATTTATAAGGTATTTATTAAATTTATATCAGAGACGGATTAAATGTCAACACGTGTCTAGTTTACTTTAGCTTAAGGATAATCCACCACTGATTTATATGATAGTAATTTCACATTAGCAATACATTATACCTTGAGATTAAAAAAGTGAGAAAGATGCGGTTCATTTCCTTTTATTCGATTATATTAATATCACTACATTCTATAAAGTTCCACTGTATTGAAATAAAACTTAGTGTCAGGGCAGTGAGTTAGACTGTTTTAAAAATAATGTTCCTTCTCGTATGATTGCCATCTGATCTAATGAAGATATTATTATTACGAAATCTTTGTGTATCCAGCATAGCGTTTGGATAAAATTAATTGTCCCGTGACCCTGCAAGGTGGTTGGATGCTGTCTTCATACATATAAACTTCACAGATTATCGCGAAATATAGCGTTATAGCAAATGTCTATACACTTTACTCTATTTTTGTAAAGTTTAATATCTAAATTACACAATGGCGGGGGCAATGACGCGAGATATAAACGATGCGGGTGGTTGCGGGTCCTCTGGGCTTGTAAGAACCCCGTTTAACACAAGAATGCACACGCTAGGTATCAAAGGCGGTAGATAGGAAACCCGGAAATGGGTTTTGCAGTACTCTTATTGGATAATAATGAACGAATTTCATAAGCGTTAGGCGCATAGGCGGTAGTGCAAAGTGGCGTGAACAGCGTTTTCAAAACACATGATTGTCTCTCTCTACAGTTTCCGTATATCATTCAGTACAGCAATCCGCCAGACCAAAGCGAGATCAGGCGCATGGCCAACAGTTTTACATGCTTTTGCTGCTATCGCACTATGAGAGAAATGGCACAGAGAGTGCACCTGTGCTTGCACACTCACTCGTGCACTATAAGGCCGTCTTGCTGATGGCTTGTTTTGTTGAGGCCTTGACCGAAACCTCGATGTGGAGGACATTATCTATACATCTATAGTCTATACTCCATACAAATAAAGAAAATTGAAGTGTCTGTTTGTAATGTCAAAATTACAGCGTTTTACTAAATGCATATGAAAGTATAAACGGAACTTATAACAAAAATACACTTTTTAAAATTTTTGCCTGTCTGTCTGTCTGTTTGTTCCGGCTTAGCTCCGAAACGGTGAGACCGATTAGATGACGGCACTTTCACTGACAGATAGCTGATGTCATAAGGAGTAACTTGGCTACTTTTATTTTAGAAAAATAATTAGGGTTTCTCGCAAAAAAATTAAAACCCAAAATTACACGCGGACGAAGTCGCGGGGAACAGTTAGTGTATAAACTCAGAACTTTATTAGTTAGAGTTACAGTACAGTCCTAGCCCCAGTGGCATGGTCTCATTAGTTATTTAGTATTGTACATTTAAGAAATGAGAAACAAATTGACATCACTAAAATTTTGTGACTCAGATATACTATAGTTAGTATTCCAGAACATAGAACAATTTTTTTTAATTCTTCCTTCACAGTTCAGGCTATTTTCCTCTGGAACGCTTTACCCGCTGATCAAGGTCAAGGATGTTACGAATAAGCTTTTGTTTAAAAGATTGGTGCGACAACGTTATTTAGAGGTAAACAACAATTAATTGCCTTCCCCGTTATATATATATATATATAAATTTATATGTAGGTATATATGTTACTGTAAAAGCCCGAATTTTGGTGAATCTTAGGTTTTACTCTTAAATCCTAGGATTTACCAACATGAGCCGGTAAATGTAAGGATTGATATAAAATGCGACGATTTTTCGCGCTTTTACCGTTAGAGTTTGGTACATCCTAGGTTTAACCAAAGACTACGAGTAAGTTTTGGTTTTGGAAAGGAAACAATATATTTATATAAGTAGAAAGTATTTTTGAACATTGAATCATATTACCTGCATAATTTTAAAATATTTTTATGATGATTTCTGAAAGTAGAATATAGAAAAATAAAGAGACTTGTTTTTTGAAAGTAGAATATAGAAATAAAGAGATGATGTATCGATTTACAACAAATCGATTTCTAAAATATCGATATTTTTTCACAGACTGGCTCATTGAATATTCTTGGCGAAGAAAAATAAAAATAGCGCATAAAGATGTTTTCGAAGAATTAATTAAAGCAATACAATATGTGTATAAAATTGATTAATAAATTATGTCAAAGAACCGAATTGATTGACCCCGACTCCACCTGGTACGAATCTGTCCTACCTCTAGAGTGTTTTTATAGAGCCGGAGGCGCGTAGGGGGAGCAGCCTCCGCCTGCTGTAACAAATCGCTGTAACAAAAGTTGCATGCGATTTGTTACGCAAAGGCGTAGAGGCTGCTCTTCCCGCAGCGCCGGAGACGTTGCAGTCTCTAAATAAAAACAGAGGGTGACACAGGTAGCGGGGAGAGCTGCACACTGTCCGCAAGTACGATAATGCGCCGAACACGTCTAGACATGACTATTTTTCAACATTTACCGTGTCTTAGCGGTAAAACCTAAGATTTACCGAGTGAATGCTTGTAAAAGTCCGAAATAAACGATTACCATAGAACACTTCGGACTTTTACCTTATGGACTTGGTAAATCTTAGGTTTTACTGCAAAATCTTAGAATTTACCGTAGTTCTAACTTTTACAGTAACTACTCACGACTATGTCCGGTGTTTGATTCGCCCTCGGCACCATGTCTTTACAGTCTGGGTTGACAGTGGTCACCTTATTTGACGCCCTGAGCATTTTGTTGGCGCTAGCTTCGGACTCCGTGGCCAGCTCAAATATGGGACCCTCACCGATCCTATTGAATGACAGAGATGTAATATAGTTATTTTTTTTTCTTTCGAGCCGTCTTCTATTATTTAAAAAAAAATCTATTTCAAACCAATATTTTGTAGGCATTACTAGGACCAGCATTAGCATATTAATAGAATTAACATTTTCATAGAAGTTACATAAGTTTGTCCAATTCAGCTCAATCTGATGTCAGCAAATGCCTTTGACATCCGGTTGGGCTGAATTGATTATAATTTTTAAACAAAAAAGACATACGAAGAAAGCAAGTTAAATAAAAAACATATTACATTGGATAAATTTTTGCCTTTAATTCAAAATATCCCAATATTCGGCCGTTAATATAGTCGCGAGGACCGAGGAGTGTTTCTGGTTTCAGTCCAAATGACTATAAAATAAAGGTTTATGAATAGCTATAGCGGCGAACCGTTAAACGTCCCAGTTTCGATTACAACTGCTATTGCGGGATTATTCCTTAAAATAAAAACTAAATTTTTATAAAACTCTACCTGTTTTTTTATAAAAAGTAGTAAATAATATAATTATAACAAGTCTCGGGCTTAAACTACAATCTGTTTCAATAAAGAAGTCCCGTGGGAAAACAAAAGAAAAATAACCATACGGAATATGACAGCAAATGTAAAATTTCATAAATTAAACCCGAGAATACCCGCGCCTCTCATCCCTTTACCTTACCCCTCTGGCGCATATCGCTTAGTGTTGTTTGTTTTAACTTATTTTTCGGTGGACGTGCAATAATTTTCCAGGTTACCTTAGCTTAGTTCACTGAGCCTAGCTTTCAAATAGTTTAGTTCGCGGTGGACGTTCGGCTTAAATCTAAAGACGGTTGCAGACCAAGAACTAAGCTAAGTTAGTTTAGCTTATCTTGCATAGCTGACGCGGTTTTTCATACTTGTGTACAGACTGCAAACTAGGCAAACTAATTTATGTGAGCTAACTAAAATATGCTAAGCTAAGTTAGTTATGTATGCCGATGCGCAGCTACACGAGCTAAACTAAGCCCCTCCCGCCTGCCCGCACCCCCTTCGCTTCTAGAATGTCTTTTTTTAAATAATAATAGGTCAGTATTAATCTTCTTTTTCTATGTGTAACGTATTCATCATCGGAACTTTCTTCATTGATTATATTCATGGTGAGCGACGTCCGTCGAACTGAAGTTCACAACATTGACTGAGCTTTCGTTTAGTTCTTGATGTGCACGGGACATATTTTTAGTTTATCTAAGCTTAGCTTAGCTAAGCTGCCTTTGTTTAGCTTCGGAATAGCTTAGTTGTCGATCTGCAACCGCCTTAAGACTATCATTAAACCATGTTCGGTAATAAAAAAAAAGCATGAATCATACAAACTTTGGAAGAAAACTGCTGTCAGTGGGTGGGGGTTTCTTCTTCTTGTACATGTGACTCCATGGCGCCGCAGGAAGTGTCTCCCAAGGTTGACCTAACACACGAGTCCAAACCTCTCCTCGTACTACTACCAAACATCTGAAAACGTAAGAAATAAGTGTGAGGTCACATAATACGTTGCGGCAGCGGAGCGTGGCGGTGCACCGCCAAAATGATTTCACCGCATTGGATATCACACCAGTTTAAAGCTGAATGTTGAATCTGCGCCTATCCCCAACTAGATGGATTTACATCATCTATTATTATAATTGTCAATCGGGTTTGATCTGAAGCCGCAAGATTTTACTTTACCGGCTTTCCTTTAGTCGACTTTAACGTTGTCTGCAGGATAAGAAATGGAATGGATTTTTTTATGATCTTAAATCATCACACAAATTATACAACTGATTTCAATCATTGATAAAATAAAAAAGGTTAGATATTAATTAATTATAGTAAGAATACAGGATCCCTTATTACTTTGCAAACAAATCGTTAAATAAAATGTTTAGTAAAAACCATTAGGGAACATTACGAAATCAATTAGAAATAAGTAAATAAATAATTAACAAAATATTGCACCTTTCCATAGTTGAAATTAAAGTACCTGAGACGCGTGCAGCAATACGGGAATTGCATATTAGTATCTTCTACAACTTCTTCGCACTCGATGGCAGATTCCGGTGGTTCTACACGCTTGCAACTGAAATAGGAACAATTATAAAAGTAAAGTAAAGTAAAGTTGCAGTCTATTTACGTCCCACTGCTGGGCACAGGCCTCCTCTCATTTCTGAAAGGGTTATAGGGCAAGGAAATGTCCGCCGCGCTGCTCCAATGCGTGTTGGCGAACTTCACGTGTCTTCGAAATATTTTTTCTTATTTTTCAGACATGCAGGTTTCCTCACGATGTTTTCCTTCACCGTCGAGCACGTGGTAAATCAGCACTTAAAATTGCAATTAACAATTTCATTGGTGCCGGGGGTATCGAACCCGGGTTGGTCGAGTACTGTGAAGCTTACAGCGAGCGCTAACCATCTGAGCTACCACGGCTCAACAATTATAAGCAAGAGAACAATTGCGAAATAATTACTTATAGTCGAAAAGAAAACATGAGTATAAAATAATAAAGCAGGAATTCCTAAGCCCAGAAAACCAAGCAATTGCGGTAGGACATCTATATACGTCAAGAGGATCGACTGATCGACCGTTTGGGAGAGTATGATGGAAAACGATAAACTAAAAATTTATAGATATCCAAACGCGCTGCTCGTTCCAGGAGTTTTTGAAAATTTCCCTTGCCGTTCATATAAGCCGAAATATCGGTCAAACAGTAATACCTCAGGACACAAACTATTTACAATAAGCGCCTCAGGGTAATAAGAAGGGAGGAGTGTTAAATACAACGAGTAATGCAATCTTTTGAAGAATGAATTAATCGATAAGAGTTTTAGACGATGTATTTTTATGAGATAATTTCCTTGGAATGTTGTGACCTTTGGGAATTTAAGATATCTAAGTTAATTTATTAAAAATTTAAGTTATCTAATTTAAAAGAATCAATCCTAGGTTGCAAGGATTAAAGGAGTCCTTTAAACCTTGCAACCGAGATGTTATTACTTTAGGTATCTATTAAGAGTTCTTTAATCACAGGGTCTGTAAAATTCATAAAAACTAGTAACAGCCTTTATAATAATATGAAGAAGCAAATATTTACTAATCATTAGTCTGTTTTCGGATTCTGCCTCATCTAAGTTGGAAAGTCGGCCATTTTCTCATTCTTATACTCCACGTTGCTTTGTTAGGTGTTTTAGTCTAGAGAGCCTTTAAAAGAGAAAAGGTTTCCCTCCTCCTAGCTGTAACGTACCGTTGGATAATTCCCTTAATTATCAAAATATTCAATAGCCATGATTCCATTTAAGGAGAATCAGTATTGAAACATTCAAAGGACAGCTTAAAAATTACACCAAAATGTACATACGACTATAAATATGATACAGAGAAACGACAAACAAATTCAAAAAAGAACCCCACAGATGTGTTTGTCGCAAACTACTCAGTAGAAGAGTAGAAATTTTTTTAAAATGCTTGATGAATGACCAACATATTCCAATTTACTTTAAAATGTTATATTTCAATTTAAATATAAATTTAAACAAACGAACTGCCGCCTATAGGTATATCACAACTCTAAAACGTTTTCTAAATTAATAGATTTGCATCCAGTTCATGACACAGCGAGCGTTTCTTTTATTTTGTCGACTGCCTATTAATTTGAGTAAAATGTTATCACGGTTAATATATCAGCTATAAATGAATGAGTGAATGAATGAAATATACTTTATTGTACCGACACCGATAAATATGAGACGTATCTTTTATAAATTATTAAAAGAAAAGATACGCTTGGCGGCCTTATCGCTTAGAAACGATGTCTACCAAGTAACCACATTGCAGGGGATATAATGACCTGTGAGAAAGGGTATGTACTCAAGTTGTTTGAAAATACACGCAACATACACATAGTTATATTTTCAAAATGTACATACCTAATATAATAAAAATAATATAATACATTAATTTACCTACCCTACAGTGTAGATAGCCAAGTTTCGTCCACCGGGTTGGCACCTGTGCCTCGTGCAAGAATATGCATCAGCCCATTCTGTGTACGCAGCATGTTTCTTCATAGTTCTAGGGTCCGTGCAATCTATACATATAAATAAAATTGAAGTATCTGTCTATATGGCTTAATCGATGGTAGTGAAACTCCAAGAACAGGTAGAGAGCCATGCCAGGAGTGATGTAGGCTGTATTTTTGTCGAAAAACTTGTAGATATTTTTGTGATATCGTATAACTAACAAAAAAAATTATTTTAGCTTGCCCAAATATCATGACGACGGTTATACTATACATGAGTTTTGTTGCAAAATAAGACTTTATTTGCATTTGAAAAACTTATATAAAGTTGTTTATTTTAGACTATCTTTACCCACGAGTTCATCCGCGTTGAACTTAAACAAAAAATCGTCAGATCTTTAATAGTTGCATAATTGCATTGGGCAAGTCGTTCAATTATCAAAAAAGCACTTTAAACTCTCATAAAGTTTTTTTTTGCTACTAACCTTAAAACTATGCTCGGTACGGGAAAATCTATACATATAATAAAAATGTAAAAAGCAGACGTCTGTACATTTTATATTTTTGTAATAAAAGTGATTGAGAGGTACTAAAAATAAGTAACTAAATACATTTCTACCATTTTTAGAATTTTCTGTCTGTCTGTCTGTCTGTCTGTCTGTCTGTTTGTTTGTTAACGTATCACGTATAAAGTACTAATTTATATAATAAGAATCATTAAGGAAAATATAAAGTGTATCTTCGTGTTACATTTAGTCTTTATTTTATTAAAATCAGTTCATTCAATCAAAAGTTATGATAAATATTCTGAAGTATGAATACGAAGTATAGGTACGAATTTGTTCAACGGTGGCGTTGGTTGAGTCATCAAGTGCATTTTAAATTAATACTATATCATAAATCATAATTAAATTAGGTAAAATAATGTTCTATAATGATATAATTATATCTAAAATGCAGTAAACAAAAGTATTAAAGAACGTATTAAATAAAATAATATACAAAAATATATTATAAGCTTATTAACTAAATCTAAAGTGAAATAGTTAACCAATTTCATCGATAGATGGCGGTATGGTCAAAATGTAATATAAAAAGGCGTTTTGCTTACTATGCAGACACTGGTTTATAAGTTCTTTTATGTTTTATATATATAATAATGTACCAATCGCGTCAATTAATCTCTTTTATTTTTAGAACTGATTGCTGTTAGCAGCGCCATCTCTCTTTAAATATATACTTATAATAAAAATGGTGATAACATGTTGTGTCTGTTTTTGTACATTGTTTTTATATATATAATAATGTACCAATCGCGTCAATTAATCTCTTTTATTTTTAGAATTGATGATTGCTGTTGCAGCGACATCTCTCTTTAAATATATACTTATAATAAAAATGGTGATAACATGTTGTGTCTGTTTTTGGACATTGTATAGAATATTTGTCACTAAAATCATTATAGGGAAATGAAAATAATTAAGTAAACACATTTTTATAATTTTTAGAATTGTCTGTCTGTCTGTCTGTTTGTTTATAAACGCATCACATCTAAAATAAAAGAAATCTTTAAGAAAATCATAAAGCGTATCTTCAAGTTACATTTAATTTTTGTTTTATTAAATTTGGTTAATTCTATCGAAAGTTATGATTATTAGTTTAAAATGTAGGTTCTAATTTGTTCAATGGCGCCATAAAATCTCAGAAAAAGTAATCAAAAGATTTGTGTGTAAAAAAACGTTCTATAATAATATATTTATACTTAAAACAAAGTCAACAATAAAAAAGATGTTTTCCTTAAATTAAAAAAGTTTTCTCACAACGAACGTAATAGATGGCATTGTACAAATTACATTCTTTTCTGAATTGCGGCGTTAAGATACTCCGAATCGTATTGAGACTCACTGACGTGCAGTCAGTCTCACAAATAACCATACATTACGCAGAACCAATGTAGATATTATATATTTAACAATTTCAATTTCAACTTAATAAATTAAATTAAGTGATATATATTATGAGTTATAAATATATATGTATATATAAGTAAAATAGTCAATTTATTTTATATCAGATTATAATGAACATACTAATATCCGAAATCACAACTTCCCACAACTCAATAGCGAACTCATATCCCAACTTCAAAGGTTGCTACATGAAATAAATCCATACGTTCATAGTTTTAGGGTTGCATTGCAATTGATCCGTCAAGATTTAATAAACAATTATAAAATAGTTATTAACGCTGACAAGCGTCCTGTTACTAAAAAAAAAGTTACTGAACACCGCGGTAGCAACGTTCCTGTCACTGATGAAGTGGCAGTGGCATTAGTTGACCAGGAGTGCGATAGACGTGACATCGTGTTGCACACACATGACGATCGACTGCCAGGGATTTATGAAACGCATCGATATTATGATGCTGTGAAAATGGGTACAATTTCGGAATTTATCAAGTTAATCCTAATACCAGAGAGACCAATTTTAATAAAAAAATATTTGCTCTGCAATTTTATTCGCACCTGTTACATGTAAGGCATATATCTTCTTGCGTACCTATCTGCAAAGATTTCGGGGGTTGTTTTACCAATTTATAGTGGACATGTATGCGAAAATAGAGACGGAGCGCTTAATGTATATACGCACTAACCAGAGACGTCTGTTACACTGACGTCTAATAAGTGATATTGATAGAGTAATGATATAAATCGTTTAATATTTTCTTACCTGAATGTGAAATTCTCCAAGTAAAACCTATATACGCGAGCTACGCCGCGGGCACAGCTAGTGTTTAAAATAAAATCTTGGCACGATACCGCGGGGAGTAGGACTATATGATAAATGATAATTAAGTTTCTAGTTTTAGTTTTTTTTTTTATTATCATAGTTTTTAATATTGTAAATAAATTGTAAAGAACAAAAAAATTTAACAAATAAAATCTTAAGATTTATTAATTTCACGTTATAAAAATCTTATCACATTACCCTTTGATGTTGTTATAAAATAGGTAATGTTGAAGTAAAAAAATGTTAAAAAGCGATTTTACAAAACTTTAGGAGATAAAGTGTAAGAACCTTTTTTTGTGTAAAATTGCAAACAAGGAAGTCTTGTTCGAAACTTTTTTTATATTGTTTTCGGTCTATGAAAATATTCATCGAAGAACAATTATTTTATACGTTTTTCGATTTCACAAGAAAAATCCTGCATGGTTGCAACGTGCATCGCGCACGCATTCCCTTTATCTATTCTTAAAGTTTCATCACAATCGGTTCAGCGATTCAATTTGATTTTATGTGTATTTGTATAAATGTATATTCGGCTACGTTCTATCTAAATCTAACCGGTGCGAAGCGAGGCGGTAAATTATACAAAGTAAATATTTTCAAGGCTAATATAATCTTCTTTTTCTTACTTGAAAGCATTTCTTAAACCACCGCTGGTGTAAGCCTTTCTACCTAGAAAAGTGTTAAGAAGCTGGGCAGGCGGGCTGCTGAGAGTACTGAGCCAATACTCTCGCATTAGTTATGCTGCTTTCTATCTCCAGTCTATCATTTGGATTTGGCATTTTTGTAGGGTTTCACCGTCATTTGTTTATCATCAGAGCCTCGTTCGTTAATTAGTAGGGTACTTTCTACGTAACATTTCGAGTTGTTTTCATTCTTACAACCCCTTGTCTTAACTCACCTCGTTTACTGAATTTACTACTTATTTATTATCTTACATTGGAGGCGTGGTAGCTCAAGGCCAAGCCACAAATTGTAAATTTCACAGTATGCGAGCAATGAGCAAACCGTGGTAAAGCAATACTGCAGCTATATAATACCTAGTCAGGTCATAAGTATTGTCACACAGTAAAAACTTTTCTTTTAGAATGCTGGCCACAAAAAAGTTTATTGAATTCGAATTTCGAATTGTTCATGAAAATAAAACTGTATACTTTTTAGAGTTTTACTCATTTTTAAATATGGAGTGGACGTTTAAAGAAACCGTGTTGCAGTTATTGCGTTGCATCGTTGCGGTTACGCGCCAATTCAAATTTTTAACATACTGAAAAATTTGAATATAACCAAAAAATTCGTTTATCGTACCATCAAACGATACAATGAAGACTCTAGTGTAGATGACAGGTCAAGAAGTGGTCGCCCTCGGTCTGTTAGGACTCCAGCAGTGATAAAAGCTGTGAAGGCGCGAATTCAAAGAAATCCCAAACGTAAGCAGAAACTTAACTTAACTGCTTAACCCCATCTGAAGGGCCAACACCCTTCAGATGGGGTTAAGCAGAACCACGGTGAAAAGGGTGTTAAATGAAGACTTAGGGCTTCGGGCATATCGAAGAAAAACAGGACATCGTTTGAATGCTCGTCTAATGGACCTGAGACTGAAGAGATGCTGCGCTTTGTTGAAGCGGTACGCGGGAAAAAATATCGGGAAATTCTTTTTTCGGATGAAAAAATTTGTACTGTAGAAGAGTTGTATTTGAATGTGTAGTAAGGTGTACGCACACAGTAGTGAAGAAGCGAGCAACCGTATTCCGTGTGTCCAACGAGGTCATTTTCCATCCTCGCTCATGGTATGGTTGGGAGTTTCTTATTGGGGCTTAACAGAGGTACATTTTTGTGAGAAAGGTGTAAAAACGAATGCAGTTGTGTATCAAAATACAGTCCTCATATAATCCCTTGAGTCGACGAACCTTGTGGAACCTGTTTCTCATACCAAGTTCAATAACAGGCACTGGGTATTCCAGCAAGATTCGTCGCCAGCTCATAGAGCGAAGAGCACACAAGACTGGCTGGCGGCGCGTGAAATAGACTTCATCCGGTACGAAGACTGGCCCTCCTCCAGTCCAGATTTGAATCCGTTAGATTACAAGATATGGCAACACTTGGAGGAAAACGCGTGCTCAAAGCCTCATCCCAATTTCGAGTCACTCAAGACATCCTTGATTAAGGCAGCCGCCGATATTGACATGGACCTCGTTCGTGCTGCGATAGACGACTGGCCGAGCAGATTGAAGGCCTGTATTCAAAATCACGGAGATCATTTTGAATAAACTTTAGTGTCATAAGAATCTATGTTTTGTTAAGTTCATTTTGGTATATAAATGGTTACATAATGAATAAACTTGTTTTAATTATTTTATATTAAACATGTGACAGAATTTATGACCTGACTAGGTAGTTGTAGCACGAATGGATTGGCTCGACCGTGGGAAGGACCACGCTTTTATAGAATGCCAGCGTAAAATAGCAGCTTAATACTGCTGTGTTTCGTATGGTGAGTGAAGAAAAATGGTGATACTTTTTACTGCATTTCATCCTATTCCTCACACATCTGCATTTTGATTCGTAATTGCGGATAGATGTAGATGTCTATGAGCCACAGCATCCACTTACCATCAGATGGACTGTGTGCTCGTTCGTCACCCTTATTCTATAAAAAGAAATCCCTACCGGCTTCAATAAAATAGTTAATTGCAATTTTAAGAGCTGTTTTATCACGTGCTCGGCGTTGAAGGAAAACATCGTTAGAGAACCTGCATGTCTGAAGAATGAAAATATTTCGAAGACTTGTGAAATCCGCCAACACGTCCCGGAGCAGCGCGGCGGAATAATTGCTCGTTTTAACATTTGTAAGACATGTACAAATGTTATACGTTTCACTGTTGTATATTAATTGTAGCTTTACTTTACTTTACTTTTAACTTACATTGATTTTTATACATTTCGGTCGCTGGACCTGCAGTAACAATAGTCACTAAACATAAAATTAAGTTAATAAGTATCATTTCTCAAATCAATTCGAATCAATTCGAAATTAAAATCACTTAACACAACATAACCAGCACGTTACTTTACACTTAAGTTCAAAGAATCACGGATTGAAAATGAAGCTTCTGGTAAAATTAAAAGTAAGTACCGGCGCGTATAATTGAAGAAAAAAATGTTTTGTGACAACTTTCTACTTTTAATATTTTCCTTGTAATTAACTATTTTCGTCGGTTTTTTTGGTTTCTTTTTAACGCAGATCCTTTATTTAGAAAATGTATGAAAAAGGTTGCAGAAGAAAATGCTTCACCATAAGCACATTTGTTTAAATAAAATAACAAAAAACAACGCCTGGTACATACCTATTCCCCCACGAACGGGTTCCCGCCTTGTCGTGCCAGGGGGCTTACTAGCCGCGGCTTGGTCACCCGCGGTGAACTAAGGGGAACCCAAATGGCTGGCCCGAGGTGTACGGTCGGCCCGAGGTAGCCACTCCGAGTGGGCTTGACAAGCACACTTCGGTAGTGTCTTGGTGGGCTGCGGCGAGAGCTCTCCTTCCCTGCTCTACTCTCCCCTTACCACCGCAGCCGCGGTGAAGTTGCGGAGGAAGAGGAGTGTTGGTATGGCGATCCACCATTTGTCCTATCCTCCGAGACTCTGACGGTGTCGCACCGTTAATTGATGAGGTGGTGGTCCCTGCGGGGGAGAAGATTGTCGTTATTGCAAGACCCCGCTCTCCCTACCCTCCGCAGCCGAATCTTAGTTGGCGGAGCTATAAACCAGATACGAGGGTGGATTGAAAAGTACTCGGCCTAACCAAGAAAATAAACACATACTAAATCAGTTATATTTTTATTTTTCTACATAATCACCATCAAGTTCAATACACTTTTGCCACCTCCCCTTCCAAGCATTTAGACCGTTGAAAAAAAATGATTCTTCCTTAGAGTCAAAATATGCGTCTACAGCTGCTTTGACCTCGTCATTTGTCGAAAATCTTTGACCTCCCAAGTGCTTTTTTAGGTTAGGGAACAGAAAGAAGTCTGATGGTGCCAGATCAGGTGAATACGGCGGATGCGGTAACAGTTCAAAGCCACAGTTGTGAATTTCAGCCATTGACTGTACTGACGTGTGAACACGGGCGTTATTTTGATGAAACAGGACTTTTCTTCTGAGCATTCCTCGACGTTTTTCTTTTATTTTCTCTCGTAAATGACGTAGTAAGGTGCAGTAGTAATCAGAGTTTATATTCTGACCCCTTTCAAGATAATCAATCATAATCACACCTTTCGAGTCCCAGAATACTGAAGCCATCACCTTATTTGCCGACAAAATCGACTTAGCCTTTTTAGGGGGTGGTGAACCAGGTCTTCTCCACTGTTTTGATTGTTGTTTTGTTTCCGGTGTACAGTAATGAACCCATGTTTCGTCCATAGTAACAAAACGATTCAAAAAATCATCTGCATCGGCTTCAAATAACTCCAAACAGTCGCGTGAAATAATCAATCGCGTCCTTTTTTGTTCAACTGAAAGCAGTCGCGGAACCCACCTCGCAGACACCTTGTGGAAACCCAACTCGTTGACAATGATGTTTTGAGTTCGTTCATAAGAGATGCCTATAATCTCGGCTATCTCTCTAATTTTTAATCTGCGGTCTCCCATTATTAAATCAAGTACTTTTTTAATATTTTCGTCAGTAGTTGACGTCGAAGGCCTTGTAGAGCGGGGTTCATCTTTCACACTCTCTCTACCACGCTTAAATTCTGCTATCCATTTTTTGACGGATGAATATGACAGAGCACAATCGCCTAATGCACTGACCATGTCATCATGGATGGCTTTTGATGATAGCCCCTTCTTATGGAGGTACTTAATGACGGCACGCTGCTCGATTTGCTCCATTCGCGGAAATTATGTCCGATTACTTTGTTAATAAATTTATAAAATCACAACTAATTATCGCACACGTTTCGAACTTCACACAATGAACTAGTCTGAACTGAACTAAATAATGTGGGTAGATTTGATTTTTAGAATTGAATGGATCTGTGTTAGGCCGAGTACTTTTCAATCCACCCTCGTATTTCGTGATTATTTTATTCGTTTTATTTTATTATGATACAGATGAACCAAGTTCCGTGCAACATAAAAATTATTAGATAGTATTCATACATTGTAACGATTCTTTTTAGCATTTGCAGGCGTCTTTTTTGACTTTAGAATAAGGAAATAAACATTTATCGGTCAATTTGTGCAAACATTTTGAGAATTAAAACATTTAACTGGGTGGTACGACTCTTTCCCTACCTATGTTTTCGTCTGGATAAGTACCAGCTTCTTGCCTATTTCTGCCGACAAATATCAATGCTTGTACTGCTGTGTGCAGCATTCTATCCTAGTGCTATGAGATGACAACGCATCTGTTGCCTTCTTTGTTTGAAGTTAGTTACATGTGTCCATGGCTTGCAGTACCAGGTCACTTACTTTCTAGAAATAGTTTGTCGGCTTAGATCAATCTTGTGACTAAGTCATAGGGTTGATTGTCCGCTGGTCCTGATAATATTAAGATGATTTATAGGTAAAGGTGAGAACGAGTAGGTGCCTTAGGTATTATGACTTAATGAAATGTCAATTTAAATTTTTCTAGGCAGTAGGTAGGTGTCGGTTTTTAAAATGTTATTATCACCGATGTAGCTACTAAAAATCAGTAACCCATGTCCATCCTAGTGTCTATATATATACTGTTCGGACATATAGTATAAATGTTAAGAAAAGTAAAAGTTAATCTATACAACATGTATAGAGATCACCAGAATCCATTTTCAAATGTATAGAAATAACTTTAATTCAGAGAACTCAACCCACTCGATAAATAAATTAAATAAATATACGTTTGAATACTGATTCTGATAAGGCATTGAATGGGAACCACAGGGTTTTTGTTACATGTTGTATATGCCCCACTGCTGGGCACTTTTCAGAAAAGGTAATCGATTAATTTGTCCGCCATTCTGCTAAACACCCTGCCTGGCGACATCCCCTTAACATCCATTTAAGGTCAATTGATGACGTTTGCTATAATCATGATGGTCATATCGTTCTTATAGATATATTTTTAATATTTCTTAGTTACTGTGACGACTGTACTTCATATCAACGAAGCGATAAAAACCTCTTGTTTAGAAACAAATCATAACGACGTATCCGGCGCTTTTGTATTTCTAGTCTTTTGAAAAAAAAAACGTGACAGGTTAAGGTTGATCGTTTTTCTTATTTTAACGTCAACACATTATTTATGTTAAACATTTCAAATTCTTCGTAGATTTAATTTTTTATATATTTTTTTTAAATTCTTTACATGAAAAACCTATTTTTAATTTATATTGATTTATAAACAGTTCACTGTTTATTAATATTATGTATTTATTATTGGATATAATAGGTTGTAGGTATAATAGAAATTTAAATATATTACACTTAAGGGAAAACTACAAATAAGGTTAATTTTTTGATGAAAAGAGCTAGTACCTAATCGGGGAATAATAAATGTTTTCTTGTTCTCCTGTAATTTTTTGAAAAATTGAGGTTCTCCCCTTTGCGGCATCAACGACGTATTGTGAATCTAAACCATTTTCGAATCAGCTTAATTATATTCACAAAATTTCGTCGAAATCGGTGCAACCGTTTAGAAGTAGTTCAATCACATATACACGAACAGAAAAATTATTTAAATAAAGATACAGCGTAAAAGAATCCATCGCCACATTTCATGCTGTAGGTGTCCAAACTGGCGATTTTGAGATATGCCAAAAGATATATCTGACGGCTCCGTGGCGCAGTGGCTTAGCAAAGAGTTGCTGCGCTGGGGAGCGCGGGTTCGAATCCCGCACGGAACAAGTATTTGTATGGCCTACAAATAATTGTTCCGGGTCTGGATGTTTGTCCTTGTGCAATTTGTGTTTGTAAACTGCCTCCAAGATACAGAAGGAAATCCTAGTGTGGGGGTAATCTTATATCCCTTTTACAAAAGTTTAAGTAAAATGCTTAGATCGGCAACGAGAAGCAGCATCAAAGAAGCGAAACGTTCTAGTGGTGCGATTGAATTCTTATCTTTCCATCTTTATTTTTATAATTAATTATTGGTGAATGAATGATTATCAATTAGGTATATAAATTATGAATTGGTGATCGTGTAATTTCTCGACGACTTGACTTAATAGGGTCATATTTAATACAATATATATGTTATTGAGTATGAAACACTGAGATTTTCTGCTGTATCATGAAGGCAGTTTACATAATAATTTACATCAGAATAAACATCCAGACCCGAAACAATTATTTCGCATTCAAACTGGCGGCCCTCCGCACGGAGCCGTATGTCGTTTGTGATCGGGTAACTTTTAAGCCATTTCATCTATGGAGTCCACCTTCACCCAATATAGGTACTTGTTTTGTCGAGACAATGATTCGTAGATGTGGCCCATAGACATCTACATATTATATCGTCAATTGCAATCCAAATGCAGATGCGTTGCCGCCTTGCGAACTAAGATGGAATGCCTCGTAACAAGTAAAAAGGGTCTCGGGTTCTCTACACTCACCATACGAAACACATTTTTCTGTTGTTGTGCTAGTAGAATCTCATAGGAGACGCTGTTGTGAAATTTCAACAAATTCTATACTTAATAACAAAATTACTTTTTTGTCATTAGGAGTATATTTTAGTTTAATGTCTAATAAGTGGTCAAATCATGAATAACGTTCAATATATCAAAATACTGTAAAAATTCTTCCGAATTCATTCCGGACTTTTTACACCTACCGGATGAGTATATGATCGTGTAACTTCTTAACGACTTTATCGCTAGATTTCATAACACAAACAAGGAAGAACAAGTCATTCATAATGATCTCCCAACTTTCTGACCAAAGTTCTGCCCAATTATTATTTTTCGCTATGATATCATTCCCGAGGATAGCACAGTTTTTATAAATCGCCAGTGCTGCCAGAAGGCTA